TACATTAACTCATATACAGTATTACTTTAGTAACGAAGCTATCAAATTTTTATATATAAATCTTGATGGGAAAAATGTGCATTTTTCAGATTCATGCGCATGAATGCGCATCGGCCCATCTCTAGCAAAGACCCATATTTTCAATAAGTATTTCATCTTATATTTATCTTGACATTTATAAGATCAAAATACTCGAATTTTTATACTATTACAACTTTTTATAAAGTGTAATCAAAAAAAAAATGCAAATGTACAATTATTCTGACAATCTTTGTCTAATTTTATAAGTTCGAAAATCACGTTCGATGTAGATTGAATGGTCTTGGGCTTGAGATATATGGAATAACTCAGAATATAAAAACTCAGACATGCCTTATGGTATTTCAATATGCTAACAAGGGAAATCTGTGTAATTTTCTAAAATTTAATTTTATAAAACTCAATTGGGAAAGCAAATTGATGTATCTCATAGATATATCAAATGATTTGGATAGAATACATAAAGCAGGATATGTTCATTGTGATTTTCATAGCGGAAATATTCTACAACATCAATATGGGAATAGTTTTATAAGCTCCTTTATAACCGATCTAGGATTATCTAAGAATCTGGAAGAATCAGCTTCAAAAGGTGAAGTTTATGGGGTCATGCCATATATTGCACCAGAAATTTTATTAGGTGAAAAATATACACAAGCAGCTGATATATATAGTCTAGGCATTATTATGACAGAATTGTCAACCGGAAAAAGGCCTTTTTATGGTTATCCATTCGACTATAGTCTCGCGTCAGACATTTGTAAAGGATTGCGACCAGAATTTTCCGAAAGAACACCTCAATGTTACATCGAATTAGCGAAACAATGCATGGACTTTAACCCATGCAATCGACCTAATGCTAAAGATATTAGCTCAAAACTTTCAGAATGGCGTATAATTATGATGGATCCAATATCTCAATCTGATATTAAAAGGAGTTTCATTTGTGCTAATGATGAGATCAAAGTAACACAAACTACCTTGCCGAATTACCAAAATTCAATGTATACTAGCAGATTAATAAACACCAAGGAGATCAAACTAGCGTATGAATCAACTAAATTCCGAGGTAATTTTAGAAATTTTTTTGCAAGATTTAATTGTCGTGAGCCATTGCTGTTACTATCATACCAATTTTAGATCATATTTTCGTATTCTTAATTTTTGTTTTAAAAACTAATAATAACTAGCGTAAAGAATGTTATAACAGTATAACAATCCAATAATTTAATATGATCAAATACTTATGATTATACTTGCTGGCAAATCCAGGATAGTTGCTCTTTGTAAAAAAATTAAATCAAAAGGTCGATTCTGATGTTTTGCAAATATTTTATATATAGCTAAGAACATATATGGGACCTTTGCTAGGAAATGACCCTCTGAGACTATGTTGATTTTGTGAATAAGAATTAAATTTGCCAACCCTCTAGTAATCCAATTTGAATGAGAGCTTTTTTTATTTTGTAAAACTCAATAAGATCTACAAAATAAAAAAAACTCAGATAAATAATGGCTGGCAAATTTAATTTTTATCAATATAGCCTCGAGTGCCATATTATTTGTTTAAATAAAATTATTAAAGTCTTTGAGTAGTGTTTCTATCCATTACCCGTTTATCAATTTATCCATCGGATATCCGGACCTGAATTACGTTATACCCATTTACTGTTGATATCTGTCGGATTATACGGATAACTGAATGACGGTTTATCCGTATTTTAACTCGCGTGGACTATACATGCCGTATAAACTATTTCGGCATTGATTTTTAATATAAATTTCTGAGTTATTTCAGACATTTTATATCAAAAATCAATGTCGAAATAGTTTTTACATGTATAGCGTGAACAGACCGGATTTGTGCGCAAGTATGCTTATGATAGTAACAACAGCTGGTGATAATAACATTATCATATGAGAGCAAAAATAGATGACAATTAGGATTGTAACTTACATGTCTTACCATACGTATAAGTTACGTGTAAGATGCATTCAAATTTATAATGTATGGAAGTGATTATACTATGATAGCAAAATAAATACAGTCTAACCTCTTTATCGTTATGCGGGCAGAATCAGGTGACCTTTTAAAAATACGTTTAAAGAATTGTGCAGTTAGTTTTAAAATGACGTTCTTATAAAAAGAATTTTTATATGTTACGCTTATATGAAAAGTTACTATAAGGAGGCTTGACTGTAAACAAATCAAATAAAAAAATTATTGTAAATTTACAATCCTAATGACAGCATTAGCAATCGAATCATATATCTTTTAGATCTATTTCGGTTGCTATCGCGCCCAAAACAATCTGATAGATGTGATTCGATTACCGATCTGCACTGGCACCAAAAGTTTTTATTACTCACTATTTGATCACTTCTAATTATTCATTTCTTCATTCTGAATAATTAATGCATACATATAATAGATTCGAAAATGTTCAGTCTTAACGTATCCAATATTTAGAATGTCCAATTACAATTATTCATTAGTACGGAGATTATTAATGGTAGGATATTCAGTGATACCTTCCTAAATGCACAGAAGTAAGTGTGCACTTAGAGCGAGTGTACTTTATAGAGGTTTTATTTTATGATCAACTTACTATGCTTATTGACTTCATTCATTAATGGCAAAATATTCTTTTAACCAAAATGATTCTGATTATCTTAATAAATTTTGAGAAAGCTACCATTGTAATAATTATTTTTACTTAAATACAAGAATTCTAACCAATTTTTAAAATTATCATTTACAAACCTTTACAATCGTCTTTCAAAACTTTATATAATCACAATACTATTAAAATTTTATAGTCACATCTTTTTTATGTAAAACAAATGGTGTTATTATAGAGGAGGATGACCGTACTATACTAATTGCTTTGAATTTAAGACAAAAATGGGGTTCCATTCCAATTCCACGTTCATAGCAATAATTAAGCCAAAATACTTCATAAGATTATTCATATCAATGATCATTTGATTAAAAGCATTGGTGGCCTGAATAATTTCTTCTGATGAGTTATTATCTTTTTATGTGAGTTTTGAAAAAAAATCACATGTTATATAAGAAAAAACAATTTCATCAAAATTCTGAATGTAATAATATTTTGGTAAATAATTTGCTCTAAATTATATTAAATACTGTTCATATAATACATTCACACACATTTCAAATTTAAAATTTAATCAATTTAAATACCGAGTTAAATAGAACTACCTACATCTTTAAAGTTCGAGGTAGCCAATGATGATAATAAATAAATGCCTCACGTTTAACTTTCAAAGAGAATTCACTAATAAATTATTTACACCATAAAGATGATTTATTTGATTTCTTTTATGAAAGAAGCAACGACTAAATGTATATAAAGATATAATAGACGTATAGCAGACATATTTTAATAAAACTCGCGAAATTCGTGTATAATGAAGACACAATTACTTTTATTAATTAACATGAGAAATTTCTGGTGGAATATCGGGCTATTTATACATTTATTTATGCATTTATTTAGCTATTGTAACTGTTGACCAATTTAACTTCAACGGTGTACAGAAGAGGGAGAAACGGCTTTTCTATAGTCGGGCGGATTATTGAACAAGATGATTTTTACAAGTATGATAATATTAAGGACGATGATAATCAGGGTATCTCAATAGGGATGACAATGATCAGTGATATCTTTAATTTCACATGACAGATTTGGGAAGTATTATCATCAAAGAAAATGATAATATTTAATTCCACCTAACTTTTAACTAAACTATCATTCGAGTTTTAATAAACATTGTCGAAGTTAAAGTCAATTCAGTCTATTGAATTGAGTCTCAAGATGTTTATTAAGGTTGCAAGTTGAGAGATAGATACCGAAACTATAACGCTTACACCCAGAATTCGAACAAATACATGAAAATTTGTGTTTTATGTTACATCTAAAGTAGCGCCTAGCTAAAATTAAGCCCCTGAAATTAGATCTTCATGCATGAAGTTATAATTTTAGCCAGGGCGCTACTTTAGAAATATAAAGTAATTACTCTAGATAAATAGCTACTTTAAGTTAACTTGCATCATGTACACGCGAATTTTTCGGTGTATATGTTATGCGTCATTTCTCAATTTACGTCGATTCCGAATTGACCTAGGTCATTCATAAATTTTCACCGATTTAGAAATGACCCAAGCATAAGGGTGTGACTAATTATTGAGTGACAAATATGTATAAGCTACTTTATTATATATAAATAAACTAGTTAGAGCGTATTTGTCACACACACGGCGGTGCAGCACTGCGTAATTTATGGATCGGATGTGACCAATCATCAATGTGACAAATAAGTACTACCTAATTTATTTATATGGGGGTTGTTCAATACGTAGGAAAGGGAGAGATCTCTTTTTTAATTCTGGTCAAATTGACCAGATTTAAAAAGGAGATCTCTCCCTTTTCTATTGAACAGCGCACATATAAATAAAACATAAATTAGTAATTATTTATCACACCCTTTGGGTATCATTTGATCCCAAAATTTAATAGAAATTTAGAACCCAGAATTATTACGTATGTCAAATTAATTAATGCAAAAAAACAAAAATTAATAAACGAATAAAACTTTTCGAATGTTTAACTTTATCGATAAATACAACTTTTTTTTTCTTATTAATTCTTAAAATAGAAAGTTACGACCTTTTGACGTGTGAAACCTTTGATCGAATATTAAAAGCTTTTATTCATCAAAGGAAAAACAA